CACTTTCCATCCCAACCCCTACCTAGGTCCTTCCAGAGAATGTTTGTCTGACATAAAGTCTTGCAAGGATGGGCCCATGCCCAAATTAAACAGGTCACCTTGCTTCTTTCTTCACCCTTAGGCAAAGCCTATTTTAAAATCCATTTGGGGTCTCTGGTCTGGAATTGGATCTCATTTGCTGGTCCCAGTTGTGTCTATCCGGTGCCAGTGACTGTAATGCTGGATGGGCAGGAGCCTGCAGCCATCCTGGAAGGAGCCATGGCCACCCCACAGCGGTGGGAATCCAGCAGGGCCTCTCCAACCGGCATTGTCTTTTGCTCCTAGCGTCTTAAACCAAAGCCATTCTTCATCCAGGTCCTACTCCCATAGGCTTGCTAAGGCTCATGCAACCCTGTTCCTCCGTCTGTCTCTGCGGAGAAGTGCCTTTCCTACATGGAACAGCTGTATCTTGTTTTTTCCTGCTCCCACTCCTGACTTGGCTGTGGGAATGGGGGAAGCCCAGCAGCCGTTTCAGCTGGAGGCCTCTGGGTAGCACTTCTAGGAAACCTGGTCCAACATGCCAGGAGCTGCGACAGCCAAAGGGCCCCTTAGTAAATGAAGCTGAGGGAGGCTCGTTCCCTACAATCTCCTGTCTCTCCAGGACAGAGGTGCCAAACACCTGCCCTGTTGGCTCAATGTGTCAGGGCGGTTTATGTGCCTTTATAAATTGGCCTTATCTTCATCAAGGAAAAAGACTGCACTCCTGCTATGTATCAGCTGTGGCTGAGGTTATCAAGACAGTTTGTAGAATTAAAACAAGCCACTAGGGCAAGTTATAATTTTCTCCTTCCCCATTCTGTTAATTTTGTCACATAAACAGGCATGAAAGCTACAGATTGTCTTGGCTTCAGTAGGGTTTTACCTCAGCAGTACTATACATAGTGGCTGATGTAAGCAAACAGCATACCTTTCTCCCCCTTGTAAATCCTCTGCTTCTGCAGAATCTGAACTGTCATTAAGAAAAAAGAAGAGAGTTTCCAGCCTTTTTGATTACAAATTAATCCCTAAATGTGAGCAGAGCATAACTGATGCTGCGCAGGCTTCCTGTCGCTCCTGGCAGCCTGAAACAATGGCTCGGAGATGTGCAAAATCTGCTGCCCTTGTTAATGCACCGGCAGCGCTACCACAGATACTCGGCGATAACCCCAAGCCTGACAGCATTATAATTTCACGTTATCAGGCGGGGTGTGAGTTGAAGAGTAGCCAGAGGCCTATGGAGGATAGGGAGTCGTCGCAGGGAAGGGAAAGCAAAGGGAAGAAAGAGAGCAGGGGTAGATGTCTGAGGGATCGGCATTGCTACCTCTTTTCTCGCCTGGCTTCCTTGGGGGCTGTCCGTCTGGAGGGGCTCTCCTGTCTGGTTACACATGGTCACTGGAGAGGACCTATGGGATCAGTTATTATGTGGTTGCCCTGTTACTCTGCCTGCCCTGGCTCCCCCATTCCTCTGACACCAGCAGGACATGGTTGCACCTCCAAGGTTAGGATGAAGATTGATATTTACGGAATACCCTGCAGACAGGGGTCCAAAGACCTTCTGAAAGTGCACCTGGTGGCTCAGACTCAGGGTCTTCCCTGTTCTTTGTTACCCAGGACCAATATGCTGGGTGCAGACTAAGATCTGGAGATAGTCATGATCCTTTTTAGATACTCTAGGAGATAGAAGAAGTAAAGGCAGAGCAGACAGGGAAACCCAGAGAAGGCTTTACACTGCCATTTCTTTCATTTATTTATCTTTCACCTGTGGCAGCTAGCAAGGAAGGAGATGAAATCTGAGGGAAGATTTCACTGGTGACAGACGAAGTGTGTGTGGGGACGTCCTTCCCTGTACCACATGCTGCCCCAACAGAGGTACAGGGAAGGGAAATTAAAGGGGCAAGAGGCACTTTGAGGAGTCTGTAGGAATTGGAGGAAAGTTGGAAAAAGGGATGTAATTACTGCTGTGTTTGGAAAGATTTTATGCTTGAACAATGGCAGGAAGACTTTTAAACAGAGTGAGAAAAACCAGCAGAAAGAGGATAAGAGAAGGGCGCAGATCAAGGTGAAGGTCTAGGAAATGCATTTTGTCAGAAGGATTTTGGATGGCAGGTTACATAGCAGAGAGGCTGGAGAATATGAGAGACAGTGGTGTGGAGCCTGGGATGGCTAGTCTGAGACGCTATAGAGCCAGAGGTGGCTGCAGACGTCTCTCAGCTGACTTTGGACAGGAAGATCTGTCCAAAGATCTGACCAACTGCAGAAAAATAAATATGTTGGATGTGTGATGGGGGATTGAAGAGTCAGATCTGCCCAAAGGCTAATAGTCTGGTAGCAGATGAAACGGCTGGGAGACATTAACCAGGTTTAAAAGAAATAACGTGAAGAGACTTCTGCAAATAAAACTAACCTGGCACTTCTGCTCTCAGATGCAAGGACATATTTATGGTGATCACGGTGGATGAGCAATGAATGTTCAGTTTTTATATTTTCTCTTCTGACATCTATTCTGATTTGCAAATGATAGGCCAGCACTCTACTGATTACAGGATTATATGACTAACTTCCAGCAGAAAAAGAGAAATCTGTCTTTTTTTCTGCTTGAGATGGAAGCAAAGTCATCAGCACTGAAGATTTGGCATCAGGGCTCTAGTTTATTTTCAGCTGAATATTGAGAATTCTGGGCAAACTCAGCACAGTCCATCACATTCAGATCTTTTCATGTGAGACTTAGCAAGACTCATGGCACTGACGGAATAGAGGAGAATGCAGGAACTATTAATGCCAGCAGTATTATGCAGTGCTTGGTACCTAGCTTCCACGAATAGTAGGAAACATTGCTGACATGCAGTACACTTTTATTTATTTCTCACTACTCAATCTGTTTCCAAATTGCATGAATACCACTTGTTAAGGCTGAGATGCGAGGCAGGATGGTCTGGGGAGCGAAGTGGGAGGAATCTGCCTGTGTGCAGATATTCTGCATGAGATGTGCCTCACTGTGATGTCCTGTGTGAGTCCTCGTCCCAGGCAGGACTAGCATCTGCTGCTTCGTTTGATATGTCTGCATCCTGTCCCAGAAGGATATGCATCATTTGGAAATCCTCTGGAGGTCCTGAGCACAGCTTTACTCCTGCCTCTGACCCTGCACGGCCATTACCCGCTTCACCTAGCTTTCCTTTTCCATAAAATTACTCTTAATAACATTTTGAGCATCACGGCTGTGCTGTGGGGCTAAGCTCGATGATATTGGGAATACATACCGTGATCATATGACAGAAACAACTCCTGGGTGTGCCATGGGTCTGTGTACCATGGTTAGGGTTGGACGCAGGACCACAGCATTGGACTTTTAGCCAGGAAAATCCCTGCTCCTGGGTAACACATACAGTCCCAAGAGCATGGGCTGAAGGAACTGGGGACAAGTACGACTCCCCATGTGGGAATGTAAGGCAGGGGCTGGGGGGCAGAGCGGAAGGGGGAGCTGTCAGCCTTCCCAGTCCTTCTGATAAATCGGCACCGAATATTCAACTCCTTCACGAGCCCAGTGTGGTGATCAGGGTTTGTGCAGTTCCTGGAGAACTAAATGTTCCAGGTAAGTGCTATTATTAGGTGTCCTGCAAGCAGAGGAGCAGAACAAGCAAGCAGCCAGCTTTGTAACCTACGGATACTGAATTTGAAAAGTCAGGAAGGACAGAAATGAGAGGGACTGGGAAAAGGAGATGCTCTTTCTGCAGACACAGAAGCTGCCCTGACAAAGACGTGCATATAGAGGGGGCAGAGATGCATGGTAACAGCAAGGTTTGAGCTTCAGCTTAAGTGGTCTAACTTTTGGATCTGCAGAGAGCAGCCTTGCAGAAAGAGAAATGCCTTGGGATGCCATAGAGCTGGCTCTTTTCCACCTGAGGAAAGAGTCACACCTAGGAAATCAGAAAAGATGCACGGGCAGCAGTGAACAGGGAGTACTTATTCACTGGTTCTTGTAACATGGGGCTGGTGTTTCCCCTGAAACAAGCAGGCAGTGGATCTAACGCTCACGGTGCGTGTGTGTTTTTTCACCCAGCACATCGCTAACTCACTGAATAGTCTTTAATAGCCATCACATTTAATATGTGATGATCCAGGTACGGATCTGCTGTGGAAGCAGATGAAGCACAGCTCCCTGGAGCCTGGAAACCTTTGTCCATGGAGGGAACCCTCTGTGCATGCCCTGTTTTGTATTCGTAGCAGATCTTTTGCAGGATGAGCCCTGGTGTTCACCCCCAGAGCGTGTCAGAGTGAGAACGGGTGAGGATGGCGAGGCGGAGCGAGTGATTCTGCTGGGCCTTTGGGGACTGCTGCTTCTGTGTGCTTTGAAGCGGCTCCTCTTATGCTCTACACTCACATCAGAGGTTGGCAGAGCTGGATCTAACCCAGGGCCAGCTCCTCCCACACTGCCTGTCCATCCTCAGTCTGCATGTGTCACTGCTGAGAAACTGGGCTCCAGCAGGACGATTCGGGGTGAGACAGAGCGAAGTTACTTCCCTGCCTGGAAGAGAGCTTGGGAAAAATAAGACCAAGTGAAGGTTCCAGACATCCTCTGCCTAATGTCTGCCCTCCCCTGCAGTAGCAAGCTCAATTCTAAGTTTGGTCCTGAGTGGTCCCTAGATATCCTCTAGACCCTCAGCCTTGTCTCCTGAGCTGACTGGCAGAGAACATAGCTCCTGTGTAAGCCACTGGTTAATCCAGAAGCATAATTTGGCCCTGGACGAGCACAGCCTGGCGGGTGTGCTGCCAATGGGGATAGCCAAAAGGACCTGGAGAAATTAAAGAAACGATCCCCTCCCCCAGTGAGCCTTACAGCTGCTGCTGCCTGCTCAGCTGCTGCCCAGACAGCAGGCAGCAATGCCTGCCGGAGCTGGGGAGAGGGAGGAGAAGCTCTCCCTGTTCCTAGCTCCGAGGACGGCTAGCGTGGCCCAGGAGCGCGGAGTCCAGCGTGCAGTGCTGCCATGGCTTACATGGGAAAACAGAACAGGGAGGCAGAGGTGCGAGGCTCCCCCGTGGCCTATGAGCTCGCCTGCCAGCCTGAAAGTGCCGCTGGCTGCCTGGCCGGTATCGACAGCAGGGAGCCTGGCCTCAACGCCTCCTCAAGCTGGGCTCAGGGGGGTACCCCAAAGAGCTGCTGTAGAAGCACAGAACAAAGGAAAAAAACCCTGGCTGCCTGTAACCCCGAAGTGCAATGCTCCCTGGTCCAGGCTCAGGGCTGTACACACACACAGCCAAACCAGAGTCCCTGCACCGGATAGCAGAGATCCCCATCTTCTTCCTGCTCTCAGGAAGCTTCCCTAGGGACTGACTAAGCCTAATGGCAGAGATCAATAATTACTACTGCTTAATCAGGACTGTTTTAGGATAAATTCTATTTAATGAGGATCCATTTTGCATGTAGCAGGCAATTAAAGGAGGCTTAAACAGGAAAAAGAGGTGTGAGATTCTGAACACGGCTTTCTGGAGGGACAGTGCAAAACAAAGACAAAGGCATATATTTTGCTGAGTGTTTCCGTCAGTACCTGGAAGGATGAAAAATGAGTCTCTTTGCAATCCACGCCACTGCACCTTCCCCAAGATGGTGCTCTGCGTGTGTGTGTACATGTACATGTGTGCAGCCACATCAGAGAGCTACACCCGAGCTCTGCAGGAGACCTGACGCCTCACTTGGCATGGAGCAACGAAAGGCAGCGCAGTGACCAGAAAAACCTGCAGCCCACCATTTGCATACTCCAGGGATCACTGCGTGAATCAGAGAGGGATGAAATAACTGTGAATTGAGGGATTATCTCACTATAATCTCAGGACAAATGGAGGAAAAAAGAGAAGGCATTTCCAGTTTCATTATCCTTAATATCCCATTCACCGTTGTGCCTTCCTATGTCTCCCCGCCTTTTTTTTTAAATTTTCTCTCCAGTATAGGGTGTGCTAGCGGGCAAGCAATGCTCTGACTTTGGGGGAGGAAGGCAAGCTGGCTTCGGGACAGGCCTCCAAGCCTTGTGTGCACAGCATGGCGTCTCTGAAGAAAAAATGCCCTTCCTCGCCGACACTAACAGCAGCAGCTACTGACAGAGGAAGGGAAAAACTTCAGGGAAGGCAGTGGCTTAAACGATACGTAAATAAAAATGACACATTCAGATTTCACTCGCCCTTGGAGCCCCCTCCTTCTCTTCTGGCACTGTCCTCCTGAGCCTTCCATATCTCCGGAGGCAACATTTTAAAACCACAAAAATAGACGTGTGGGAATGAGGAATGGCTCAAATAATTTCAATTCCTCTCAGTTCACACTCCTCAGCAATCCCAGAGGCTTCTACCCCCCAGCAGCAAATACCTCTGGAGGGGAGGTCATACCAGCTATCTTAGGCATTTGTAGCTGAGGGAGATGACCAAGATGACCAAGACCTCTGGAAGTGACTGTTTCTCTCTGTCAACACCATGAGAGAACGAGAACGATCAGTTTAGATTAGACACCCAGAGAGAGATTCATCTCGCCAAACTTTAAAAGCCTGTATCATAACGATAACGGTCTGGACTCTCTTTATAGTTGGTGGCGAAAAAGCCACTTCTACATATGATTTGCTGGATCTCTTTTGGACATATTTTTTAGGATGAGATGTGCTTACGCATCAGAAGTGCCTGTTTCTCTTCATTGCCTATAAAGGAGTCAGTATGAGTTGCTCAGCTGTTGACGTGTGCACTGTAGGAATCTAAATTTGGGCAGATGAATCCCATTTCCAACTTTCAGACTGCTGCAGTTAGGTAACATGAATTCCACTGTGGGCATGTGCTAAATATTTGAATAGATGCTATTTTTTAATTCACCCTCTCCTTGCAAGACGACCACATCCGTAGGGTTATCTGTGGGAAGAGGAAACAGCGTGTGTCATTAAAACCAGAAGACATCCAAATTCTGTACTTTTTTCTGGCACAGATTACCATGTGAGCTACAGCAGATTCCTTAATCCCTCTGCTTTTTAAGCTTTACCACCATTCAATTTTCAAATGTTAGCTTACAATTTAATTCCTGACCGTGCAGACAATACTTTTTAGCACTTCACTGTTCTGTTTTTTCCTCATAACATTTTTATGTGAACATATAATTTTGTGTCCAGATTCATTATGCTTTGAGTGTTTTGGCTTTCCCCCCCTCCTCTGGGAACTGCTATGTACTTCTTTCACAAATCTGAACTCAGCACTAGTCTTTAATACCAGGGCAGTACTCCTCCACATTTGCTAGTTGTGAGAAGAGTATTTAATATTTTGTCTCCCTTCTAATTTTCTTATTTTCCTTGAGTCTTCAGTTCTTCGCTGATGTGTAGGGCAGTATGTTCTGTTCCAGAAGAAGACTTGGGAACAAATGCTTGCCAGAGAAAAGGCTTTTATAATCTATTGTGTGTGCGCCATTGTGCTACTGGGTAGTTTGACGCCTATTTCTGCTTGGCTCACAGTTTCTTCTAGGAAAGGTTCTTTCACTTTGGAGACTTGGGAGAGAACCATGAAGGGCAACTATTGCTTTCAAAGATACAAACACTCACCCCTTACCCCATATGGCAAAAATGTGACAAGGGATCTCTTGTTAGTGGTAAACATTGATTAAAAAAATCGATGGAAGAGGCTTAAAATCCACCAGAAAAGATGCTGTGTGGGGAGGCTTGTCACCATATTCAGATCATTCTGCGTAAGAGTCTATAAATTTTAAACGGGGGAAAACATCATTGCAAGCACCAGCAGGATGTTCACCACCTCTGAACAAAGGTTGCGCTAACGGTTCCCCGAGGAGCTCACGACTCGCAGTGCAGCCCAAAGAGTGGCGATGGCTGCTGCACGGCTGGGGTGAAACGGGGAGAGAGGGCGCTGGGGCATCTTGCCGAGGTCATGGCTGAACGGCTGGAGAGCATCTGAAGAGCTTGTGACAGCCTTTGAAATGAACAGGAGTATTTTTCTAAAGAATGCACACGAAAGAGCTACAAACATGGAGAAAGTGTAGAACATGCACCCACAAAGACTAAATTTAAAAGATGTGCTTAGCAGGGAACACATGCATAGCATATGGATGCAGCTGACGGAAGAGCTGTTGGACTCCATTCAAGATACCACTCACACAGCAGATGAACCGTCATAAATTTAAGCTACATATGTCACATCCTTACCGCTAAGGTTCCCTTTAGTCATGTGTGAATGCAGTTTAGTTGTTGGATCCTGGCTCGCGAGCTTAGTCGCTCTCTGAGCGCATAAGCATGGTGGGCAGGACACGTAACGTAGAGAGATCCTCAGCTGTTCGTTACCTTTCGCGAGTTATTAGCCCGTGGGTTTTTTGCAGCCGCTACCTTGGCATTTGTTAGTCCCGGCACTCGCTGCGTAATGGGTGTCGCACGCTGTCCTTCAGCCCTTCAGCTGCTCACTGACTGACAGGCCAACTTCTTTAACATTTGCTTTGATACATTTTCTTGTATTAAGTTAAGCTCCTTGAGCTGATTAAAAGCCTTCCAAGATTATATCATTGCCAAGCCTTCTACGCACACGCACACACGCACAAAGACAATCATTCTGAAAAGGAAGACAAATAATAAAACCTCTTCCGGATCTCTCCTATTAGGATGCTAGTAGCTAAGTCTCTGTCCTCCGGCCAATTTTTATATTACTGAGCCAATCCACGTCTCTGATGGATATATAAGAATGCCAGGTTATTATTCCTCGGCAATTAGTTTCAGCTATCAAAGTCTTTTAATCCCAAATACAATATAGTGACAAAACTGGTAGAAGAGGTAAACATTTACAGAGCAAAAATCAGACCTTCTTCCACTTCCATGCAGCACTGGAGTTGTAAGAGATTCCTTGCAGCTGCTTGCAAGGTATTAAAGTTTTAGATTTGCACTATGCTTTGGAACCTAATTTTATAAGCAGCTGCCAACAGTCCATTAATTTGAATCCAAGATGCCCGCTGAGTTAGACTAGTGCTAAAGAAAGCATTAGTTTCCATTCCAAAATGTGTTTTATCACACATTCCTGCTGCCCCTTTTGCATATCTGTTTGACTCAAGGCAATAACAGCATGGTATTTAAGCACCAATTACGTTTTGGTAATCCACACAATATTTTAACAGGGAGAGGAAGACTGAATGACCTTAAACCTTGTTAGGATCAGAAAAAAAAACAGACTTAAGCAGTCACTGGAAGGATTTTTAGGGAAGTCTTGCATAGTTCTTGGTAGTGAAGCTTTTTAACATTATGCCTAACACTCAGATTTTGTGGATGTACAAAACTGGAACGAAATTTTCTGGATTTTCAGGTTTCTTTTTCTCTAATGGGTCTAAATGAAATTAAAATTCAAACACATTCTCTCTTTCTTTAAAGTCAGGTTTAAGTAGAATACTGATATTTGTCACCAAAGAATCTATATTATGGTAGCAGCCGGTGATATCACTCTGTGATGGCAGTTTCTTTCAGGTTTGGGGCTGTATGACAGAAACACAGATGCAGAGGCAGTCATATGATTTGGGGCTGTACGGTAGAAACACAGATGCAGAGGCATCTGTGATATGATTGAGAGGATAATCTGCTGTTTGATGACGCTGTAGGTGGTGCAGGATTTGGAGGATTCTTTGGTGGCAGGTTTTGTTGCTGATATTACTGTTATTGACTTGTGGCAAAGAGGTAATGAAGAGAAATGGCATGAATGTGAAAGTATAGGAAAGAAAAGTTATCATTGAGCCAACTAAGGACAACAGTGTTTTGGGTTTTTTTTAAGATCTTATACGGAGGTGAATATTAGTACCTCTGTGAATACAGAGATTTTCCCCCAAATCTAAAATGCATCATGGGAAGAAGATGCATCTTTTAGACAGAAAGGTAGACTGATGGGCAGAATAGTCTGGAACTATTCTGCAAGAAATGGCATGGTCAGTGTCATAATTTACTCATCTAAATAGAACTGGTGAAGCTAAGAAATGAAAGGCCCTAAATGCAGAGGTGAGAAATTTTGACTAAACCATGGGATGCACTTGAAGAGCAGTGGGTTGTGGCCAGAGTTAAGTCTGAAAGATGACCTGAACACTTAATATTTTA